AAGATTCTCCAAGACACAGTCCAAGTTGCTGTTGTAAGTGGGTACACAAAGAGGGCCCTGGTACATTGTTGACCTCTGGTCCTCAGGTTTGATGGCCATAACCAAAGATCTGGAAAAAGAGGTTAACATCTGCCCACAGTTTCACAAGAGTTAGGGACAGAGCCTGCACCATCCTGGTAGCCCATCTCTGGATCCAACAATTTCTATCAATAACAATCTGCCAGTACAGTGTAATAATAAGTGTACAAGGAAGCAAGGATTCAGAGAAGAGGGAAAGTGAGGTGGGGAAGGCTCTGTAAACACAGCCAGGAGAACAAGTAGGTGCCTGCCAGGGAAATGAGATCATGGAGTAGTGAAAGGTTCAGGCTTTATGCTGGCCTGCCCCTGTTACCTGGCAGAATCCACTCAGGCAGTACCCTGGTCAGCCCAGGGTTCCACGGGAACTAAATCTGCACTAAATCCACTCTCTCTCTTCTCTCTTACTCTCTGCCCTGCTCTTTTCTTCCATTTCTCTCTCCCCGTCTCGCTCTCCCACCCTATAATAAACTGGTCAATGTGCTCTCTATAGTTTGTGTTCATCTCTCAACTTCTAATTTAAGCAAAATCTTAACATTGGCACCCAACGTCTGGGGGAGGCTCTTCCCATGGTCTCTCCCATTGCCGAGGGAGACAGAGCAATCCTTCTCTCCAAACCATCAATTCACTCATCTGCCAGTTCGCTGCAATCCAGTAAGACACCCCTTCTGGTTGGGTACATTTCCCATGGGTCAGGTCCAGCATCCCGCTCCCAGAGTGGTGCATTTCAGTGTTAAGCCTTCGTTTCAGCGTTCACCACCTTTCAGACCACTGGGTCCTTTTTTCGGTATCAGACTGCTGAGTCCTCCTTTTCCAGCCCTGCCCTGGCAATACTCTCGGGCTGACAAGCATCTGAAGAGTAAATTTTGCCATTTTTGTTTGCCTCACCCATGGGAAATACATGCGGGACCTCTCCAGTTGTGGCCAGCAGATGGGTAAACAGACGAAAAGCCACTTATGGCTGCCATATTTGCCATGTGGCCTAGCCTGGGGGCTGCCATCTTGACCACGTGACCTAGCTGTAGGCACGCCCACTCAGTTCAGCCACCTGTGCCAGCAAACCCAGCTTCCAGAAACAATTTATTTACTTCTTGCTTTTTATTTTTTGCCTCTGATTTCTTTTTTCACTGGCCCTGTTGTCCATGGCTTGTTTATAGGATACTATGCCTTTCCAGGTCCCCCTGTTTTTTCCTGATGCAGACCTGCCTTCTTGTCACTGGCAGTTTCTACTGTCTCGTTAAATCTCCTGATATGTCTGCTTGTCTCTGTACATGTGATTTAAATTTAACCTTATGCTTAGCTAACTCTATGTGCAATTTAAATTAAACTGTGCTAAGTCTCATATTTCTGAATTGCTATTTATCTTTAAATGATGGTAAACATTTAAAGTCATAAAGGTCTAATTTAACTTTATATTTAAAACATAAGCTAACTCTATACAACTTAAATTTAACTGATGTATCTTTAAATGATGATGAACATTTAAAATCATAAAGGTCCATCCTGTAAGCCATTTACAAAGGTACAGTTTTTTATTACAAAAGGGGATTTTTCTCTAACTAAAGGCAAATTTTTGACTGCTGAGATACTAGACAGACACCCCTCAAATGCTCAGAGATCTAGAGAACATGGCATTTAAAATGTTTTATTAAAAAGCTTTTGATAACAGAGAGACAGGCCAGCTGCTGGCCCCACCCCATTTCCTCCAAGAAGACTGATGGGCACTGAAGAAACTTCATCGAGCGTCAGTGGCTGGTCACTGAGACACCATAACCATGCCTATAGTTCCCAATCCATAGGTCTCATGCTATCGGCAAGAAGGCAGGTGTCCTGCAGCCCGCTACTATGGATGGAGGATCTTGGGGGTGGCTGTCCCTGTAGCCTGCTGGCAAGTCTCTGTTATTCTTTAATCATTAACTCAGGTAAAATCTTATCCTTCTCAAGAACTCTGATGCTTTTGACGACTGGTAGTCTTGCCAACTAAAAGCAAAACAGATTTCAGGAACAGGTATTTTAGGGTTTATCTATGTGAAAATATGAAAGTGCAAGGTGTATGAAGATCTGGGAATGCAGGTTACAAAGGTCTGAGGATGGAAAGGTCTAACCCGGTGGATAAAGGCAAGTTACGAAGGTCTGAGAATGTAAGGTATAAAGGTCTGCAAATGGAAGGTCTAAGATGGTAATGTAAGGTGTATGAATTAAAGTTATGAAGGTCTGAGGATAAAAAGGCTTAAGTGATGATAAAGTGAGTTGAGACATTAAAAAGAATGAAATATGTTCCAGATTTCTCTATTTCTCACTCTCCTTTTCATTGTCCTAGAAAATATCTGTCAATTTTAAAATGTTAATGCTTTCAGCCAAGTCACTTCTAACATGAATATGCTGCTAATGTGTCTAAAATTTATGTTTTCACAAACTCTAAGGATTCTTATAAGTTCCAGGGAGCCAAATTGGACCCACCCAAACAGGTCAGATTCACTCCAGATAATATTCAACCTTTCCCTGGTCCCAGATTCCCTCCCCTCATCTTGGGACCCCTGGGGAACCCCTCCCTCATCTCACAATCCTCCCCTCAAGTATCAGGACCTAAGAAAAAATTTTTCCTAAACTTAACCTTGTCCTCTGCTCTGCCAATATGTTATTTACCAGGTCTAAAGAGGTGCCAGAGTTCCATAGAGCCTGGACTTCGATGGAGCAACCAGCTACCCCAGGATGTGGCAACACCCCAGCTTTCTCAGGTTCCCCAAAGATGGTCAACACCCCTAGGTCAGCAGGAAGCAGTCGTGAGAATCTGACAACCTTATTCCTTAATCTGTCATGTCTAACACCCTACCTTTCTAATAATGAGTAAAGGTGGGAATGAAAGGCTCAGGCATCATGATGGCCTGCCCCTGTTACCTGACAGAATCCACTCAGGCAGTACCCTCGTCAGCCCAGGGTTCCATGGGAACTAAGTCTGCAGGCAGGTGTAGAGGATCCCTTTAAAATACAGACCCCTCTCCACTTATTCTTTCTTCTCTTCTCTTACTCTCTCTCTCTCTTCTCTCTTACTCTCTGCCCTGCTCTGTTCTTCCATTTCTCTCTCTCTTTCTCTCTCTCTCTCTCTCTCTCTCTCTCTCTCTCTCTCTCTCTCTCTCTCCCCCCCCCTCTTGCTCTCCCGCCCTATAATAAACTGGTTAATGTGATCTCTATAGTTCGTATCTATCTCTCGACTTCTAATTTAAGCAAAAACTTAACAAGTAGCATCTCAGAAAAAGGAGGTTCAGACAGCCAGGACCAGGGAACTTAACTTAGTCTAGCATGTCAGAGCTCCAACAAGCAAATGGTTGGGCAGAACCAGAAATTGAAAAATATCTGGTGAAGGCTGGGAATTAAAGGAGAAGCAGGTGTCTGCTGGTGGCTAATCTGGTAAGCCATCCTCAGAACATAGTTATTAGCTTGATATCAATACTCCACAACCACAGATATACAGTAAAGTCCTTGGAGATTTGAAAAAACACTACTACCTACTAGAAATGATGGTTTATCTGGTTACAGTGCCACGCTGTGGTTCCCAAATGTCACTTTCCAGGCAAAGGAACCAGGCTCCTTGGTGTAGTACAAGATGAACCCAGAATACTGTCACTGCAGACAGCAAGCAGCTGCTAGTGAATTCTTGGCTCCACAAGTGCTCAGAGTCCCACCTGAGGATGGTTTCCACTGGCCAATAGTGACTCCAGGAAGAAATAAGAACTTCAGTGCATCGGGGTACATACAACGCATTTAAAGCCATGAGTTCAAAATTCTCATGCATTACCACTATTGATGATGTTAGGGAGTCAATTTAGGGCTCTTGATATGTTGTATTTTGGAATGAGAGTATGTGTGTATATAAGCATATGGAGGCCAGAAGTCAACTTCAGGTGTTGTTCCTCGGGTGTTGTCCACCTTGAATTCTAAGAAAGTATTTCACTGAATCTGGAAATCACCAAAAGGCTAGGCTAACTGGTTAGTGAGTCCCAGGAATCCATCTATCTCTGCCTCTCCAGCATTGTGATTATAAGCACACAACTGCCATGCCCAGCTTTTCCTTGTTGCAGGTCAGTTCCATGATAGCAAAACACAAACTCATAAAGTGTACAAGGGAATTAGAAATTTATACATTCCATATTTGACAATAACAAAGAAAATTTTAGCTATAATAACAGTATTGTTGTGAGTTTTTTCTACTTTCTTTCTGCTTGTATGTGTTGTTTTTATGCATTGCTGGGAGTGGAACCCAGGTCTTTTTGTATGTACTAGGCCAGAGCTCTACTACTGAACCACATCCTAAACTGTAGTTTGAATAAGAATGGCTCACACAGGTTCATATGCTTATTCATCAGGGAGTGAAATTACTTGGGGAGGATTAGGAGATGTGTTCCTTGTTGGAGGAAGTGTGTCTTTGGGATGCCAGGCCCAGAGTCAGTCTGTCTGTCTGTCTGTCTGTCTGTCTGTCTGTCTGTCTCTCTCTCTCTCTCTCTCTCTCTGTGTGTGTGTGTGTGTGTGTGTCTATGACTCTGTGTGTCTGTCTCTCTGTGTGTCTCTGTGTCTCTGTCTTTGTCTCTCTCTGTGTCTCTGTCTCTCTCTGTGTGTCTGTGTGTGTGTGTCTCTGTCTCTCTCTGTGTCTCTCTCTCTGTCTCTCTGTGTCTGTGTGTGTCTCTGTCTCTCTCTCTCTGTCCGTCTGTGTGTGTGTCTCTGTCTGTCTCTCTCTGTTTCTCTCTGTCTCTCTCTGTATGTCTCTCTGTGTGTGTCTCTCTCTGTGTCTCTCTGTCTCTGTCTCTCTCTCTGTCTCTCTGTCCCTCCCTCCCTCTCAGGAGGTAGTTCTCAACTACATTCTCTCTCTCTCTCTCTCTCTCTCTCTCTCTCTCTCTCTCTCTCTCTCTCTCTCTCTCTCTCTCCCCCCCCCCCCCGCTCTCTCTCTCTCTCTCTCTCTCTCTCTCTCTCTCTCCCTCCCTCCCTTCAGCCCTTCAGGAGGTAGTTCTCAACTACACTCCAACACCTGCCTGCAAGCTGCCATGCTTCCCTTCCCACCATGAAGATAATGGACTAAATCTCTGAAACTTTAAGAAAACCCCCAGTTAAATCCTTTCTCTTATAAGAGTTGTCATGGTCATGGTGTTTCTTCACAGCAATAGAACACTGACTAAGACATAAACCCTTAGTCATTTTTTGGTTTTATTTTGTTTTAAAGAGCCCTTGCTCTTTAAAGACACATACTGAAAACTTCACAGATGGAACAATTTTGATAGCTGATATTGGCTACCTCTGCTGAGGGGAGGGTGGAAGTCTGGGTTGATCCCGGTTGAAGTGAGGTGAAAGGCACATGAGGGCTCATCACATTATACAGATTACTTTTACTTTTTTAATAGTCTGAAACGTCCCATAATATATTAAAAAAATCACCAGGCCCCACTCTCAGAGATCCAAATTTATTAGTTGGCATTTCAGCCAGGTGCTGGTAGTTTTTAAGGCTCCCAGGTGTTTTCAATCCTCAGTCATGGTTGAGAACCAGTGAAAGATGCCAGGGCCTGTGCCAGAGGCTACAGCTGTTGCAAAGGCTCAAGAGGTCAAGGAGCTGAGCACATGGTCCCCGAATATGGGGGAAGAAAGAGAACGAGGGAAGAGTTAAGGACACTGCAAAAACTTCAGCTTCCAGTAACTGGAAAGCGAAGAACATTCTTGGGGCTGGGAGTTTCAGGGACCTGGGGGAAGTGGCTGCATGTGTTGAGCATGCTGACTTGGTAGAGGTGGCAGAAGTTCAGTGGAGATGTCTATCCTAGTAGCTTTGCTTATAGGTCTAGAGACAACAGGGAAACTCTGAAGAGATATAAAACTCTGAGCCCCATGGGGAAGCATCCTAAATAGAGAGACAGAGGCCATGTGAGTCTATAAGAAACAATTGCATCTTGGTTCTATCCTTGAGAGGAGATCCCAGATGGCCCCACTCCCTTCTCTATTGCTTTCCCCTGCCACCAAGAGCTCTTAATCTCCATCTCCAAATAGAAATCCAAACAGTGGTTGTCTAGGCTACGAGCTTGAGGGGCCATGACCATCCTGATCAAAGGCTGATGAACTGAGTATTTTCTTGTCTCTAAAAACTCATGCTTTTGTTAAACAAATGAGACACAAAACAGCTGAGGGAAGTCCTGGAAGCATCAGGCACAGCCACCTGACTGAGACAGTGAGGGCTGGCCTCAAACAGCCAACGGGCACTCACTGAACAGGAGTTTACTGACGGTGCCTGTGTGCTCAGGGAGCTCTGCTGGGTGGGGTGAACAAGAAGCTCAAAGCCAAAAGTTTGCATTCCCTGGGGAAATAGTGAACTGGTAAACAAAGACACTCGCTGTGCATCTTATCTGAAGCATTTCAGCAGGAGGAAGGGCAACCGCATTCAACAGCTACATCAACATTAAGAATCTTCCCAGTTTCTCATGCAACAAGAATTAAGATTCTTCAGGTTTCAAAACCATCAGGTCTATCTTTATTTCCTCCTGACAAAAACCAATTGCTGACCACAGAAGACTCAAGGGCCACTTGGCAGGGACTTACCACTAAGTCCAGAAACTGAATGTAGCACTCCAGCCCAGGCCTGGTTTCACAGAACTGTCGAAAAAGCAGTCTCCCAATTGGTTGCTTGTCGCATAGACTGCAGTAATCTCTGTCTGGAGACAAGAATAATATGATGAGACCAGGAGAGCACCAGGCAGGGCAATCTGTTACTCTACAATTGGGTCAAGAATCCTGGATAGATGAGGCAAGATAATAATAATAACATAGGCCATTATCTCATAGAGTCTGCACACACAGAGAGAGAAGTCTAGGACAGCGAATGGTATGAAGGTCACACCCGGCTGTTTATTTCTGTATGAAAACACCAGTGGTTCTAGCAATTATGGCTCCATTCCATGTCTGGCCAGACAACATGAAACAGAACATGATTCTGGTGACTGGGTGAAGGTGTCAAACTCATGGCCTAAGCCAACTCAGCTAGTGTTCTTTCTTGCTCTGGAAATCAGTGCCTACAACAGTGTCCTTGACCTTGTGTGGAAAGCAGCTTGAAGCTGAACCAGGGAGGTCAGAACTTTAAGAAAATGAAGAGAAGTAGAGTTGGTGCCTGGTAATCTGAAAAACTGATTGCTTAGGGCAGTTTGAAAAAACAATCCTAAATTATATAATTCAAAGCACCCTAGTGGATACAATTTTGCATTGGGTTTTTTGCTTTTTTTTTTTTCTTCCATTTTTTACCCAATTAGAGCAAAGCCCATTTTTTGAATGCTTCAAATAAAAACTGCATTCCCCAGATGAACAGGCATAGAACAGGAAGTGACCAGCCTTCAGCCACTCAGCCACCAAGAGGTTCTGGAGGAGAAACAAGGTGAGCCACCCAACCCCAAGGCCAGGAGCTGGAGTGCTAGCACTGGATGTTTGCTACTTCAATGGCCCACCCTACCCTCTCTTTGACCCTTTGTTTTCCCTCCTATGAAAAACAAAGTGCATATTTGGAACTGGGACTAGGATTCTTTCCCAGCAATAGCACTTGAGCTTCTTTCAGCTTTCCCTAGCCAGAGGGTACTGGAGGAAATGGCCACTGAGGCATGCTGTCCCAGACGCTCCGGCCTGCCCATCTGCATCTGTCCCTCAAACTGATAGAGCTTGGAAGCAACTTGGCAGAAAGGAAGGGATGAGTCCTGGCAATTATGGAGCAGGGACAATCATTCACTAGCAAGGGGGACCTATTATTAGCTTGAATATAAGTTTTCTTTAGTCTATTCCATCTTCTGTTCTAAAGAACATCCTCTCAGCTGGGTGGTGGTGGCACATGCCTTTAATACCAGCACTTGGGAGGCAAGACCAGCCTGGTCTACAAAAGCTAGTTCCAGGACATTCTCCAAAGCTACACAGGGAAAGCCTGTCTTGAAAACCAAAAAGAAAAAAAAAAAAAAAAAAAAAAAAAAAAAAAAAAAAAAAAAAATTCTCTCTCTAAGTCTGAACAAATCCTCAACAAACCTGGTTCTGGGTGCCTCCCAAGTTCTGAAGATGGTTTGTGACTCATCCCTAGCAATTCACAACCACCTGTTATCCAGCCATAATGACGGGTATATGTAGCAATCACTCACAAATGTGGCTTTCTATAAAGTGGATACTTTGATCAACATGAATGAGCCCCATGTCTAGCCAACCTCTTCATGACCTCTTCCCAGGTGCTTCAGTCAAGACCATCACTGAACTCTTGCATTAACTCTGCCCTTCAATGTGGGCACAGGCTCCATGGCTCCAGGCACAGATGGTCCACAAACAGCCACTCCATCAAGCATTTAGCCTCAGTATGTGCCAAGTTCTGAGGGAGTAGAGGGAAGAGCTACTTGGGTGGAAGAACAGCATGGGTGCATGTGGGTGAAGAGACATGATCCCAAGTGACAGTTGTGAAATGGCACGCTAGATAAGTGTGGTCGTCAGCCACAGGAGGAACCCTGGCCACCGTGGTGCATGCCAAGTCTGTAGCCTGCACCTGTTAGCACAAGGGCCAGCCCACAGCCCACTCACTCTTCACTGCCTCCAACTCAGCGCTTCCCACACACACACCCAGGGGAAGGAAAACAAGCCTTTACACGTTCCCCCAATCAAGGAGTTTTCCCTGAAGAGCCCTGGAACCGGAGCAAGTTACCATGTATCAACCTTCAGGGTTACTCAATTATGGAAAAGAGCACAATACCTCTTATTTGATTTGACAAAGGTAACCCCCTGTTTCCAAAAAGCAATTAAGAGATTCCATGTACCATATTGTGACTCCCAAAGAGTTCATCTGACAGAATTTCTTCCCCTACATACAGTGTTTCCTGTCAGTATGGAAACAAGGCTGATATGAACACAGGCACGGTAAACATTATATGATTCTGACATAAGCTGTCAGGACCACCCTGCCAACCCCTTTCACTGCTTCTCCCAACCACACAGGAGATCCAAAGCAAGAAAGCTACTGACTAGCTGGCCAGGAGGGAACAACATAACCAGTTAATTGTCTTTCCAGGCTTTGTTCTCAGCCTCCAATAAGGATTATCTATTCTTATTCGCAAAAGCAAGTGGAACTGAGATTCCTTTGGAATGGATGAGGCCATAGGAGGAAGAATATGGAGAGGGGAATGGTCACAGTGACAGGAAGAAGTGCAAAGCAAAGTTCTTAGTGTGGCAAGAACTAATGTGAAGGGGAGATAGTTCCTGCAAAGTCTGATGATAATCAAGTTGGAAGCATGGGCAGGAACTGTGCTGGGTAGCCTTGAGGTAGACCCTCTCTGATCTGTTACAGCAGTTGCTGGCTGTGCTATACAATCAGGTCTTCAGTGTTGCCTGGAAGTGTCAAGAGGGGACTTTCTCTCTGTCTTTCCAGCTGGAAAATCTGGGAAGATGTACATGTAGGGAACATGCACACTGAACATGCACTACACATACATACATACATACATACATACATACATACATACACACACACACACACACACACACACACACACACCTACCTCTGAAATCTTGCTTTGGGTGTTTGTGCATCACTGGCATGTCCCACCCAAGCATTCCACCTTTGCTCCTTTTCTTCCTTTATTCACCCATAAAACTCTCTTCTAAGGCTTCTTGCTTCTCTGTACTAGAAGATTCTTTTAATTTTAAAGACCACTTCTTGAATTTGGGGCAGAATATGTGACAACTACAGGGTTCCACAGAGTAGACTTGAAGATATGGCTTAAAGAAAGGGGAAAGTGCTTGGGGATGGGGCATGGAACAAAGGAACAAGCATCATCAAGTTATGTTGAGCACAAGGATGAATTTACCTGATGAGAAACGTATGTCACTGTCTCAGTACCTGTGTTCAAAAACAGCACAGCAAGCCTCTTCCCTCTCCATCTTCCCAGGTCAGACTAACATTTGCCAAAACATCAACCAACAGAGGGCGCAACAAGATCACAGGCCCTGTCCTCAGAACCCCTAGCAATACCTGAGTCCCTGACCTGGGCCTCTCATAATCCAAGGACACTATAGAGGGAAAGTACTAGCAGGAACAGTCTCACCTCTCACTCCAAGTAATCATGGGTCTGAGTTTGTAGGCCTTTCTAGGCCTCTGTTTCTTCATCTACTAAATAAAGGCAGCAGAATGACCAACTGCTGAGAATCCCTTCACAGACTGGAGTCCTCCTCGCCTGCCAGTTTCACAAATGACTAGAGGTCTCAGGGCAGACTTCAAGGTCAACACTGAAGCTCAACTTTACCCAGTATTACAAAACTCTGCTTTTGTCCACCCCTGGTGTTAGTACCTAGTCTAGTGTCTGTCTCTCTCCCTGAACCTAAGGCAAAGGATGGCAAAATTTTGTAAAGACCAGTAGTAAACATTTTAGCTTTTGAAGGCTATATGGTTTGGGTCATAGTGGTTCAACAATGGAATTGTAATGGAAGTTCCCCTAGCACTGTATGAAGTGTCTATGGTATGGCTGTGTCTAACAAAACTATTTACAAAAGCAGGTTCAGGGCCACAATTTGATCACATGCTAATCCCAGTTTCTAAGCCCTTGGGCCTCCAACCCCTTTGCAATGTAATGTAATGCTGACCTGATTCTTCTAACATAGCTGCTTCCTTCCTAAGCCAGGGAATGTCTGATGTCTTGAAACCCTGAGGAGCTAATATGTACTGAAAATGAGCTTGTAACCTGAGCAATATGACCAACAATAAAGGAAAGCAGATCTGAAGTTAAAAAAGCCAAGTTCAAAGCCAGGCGTTGGTGTCGCACCCCTTTAATCCCAGCACTCAGGAGGCAGAGGCAGGCAGATCTCTGTGAGTTCGAAGCCAGCCTGGTCTCCAGAGCGAGTGCCAGGATAGGCTCCAAAGCCACACAGAGA